CTGCTGCTGCAGACTCGCATGGAGGCCTTCGAGAAGAGAAGGGGTTAAGATGGCCAGATGACTCGGCCGCAGCAAAGAAGCCTGAGAGCAGCAGCGCAGCAACGCAGCAGCAACTCCAGCAGCAGCAGCAGCAGCTCAGCAGCTCAGCAGCAGCAGCAGCAGCTAAGCAGCAAAGGAAACAGACAGACAGACAATGAAAGAGGAGACAGAAAGAGAGGAGATACAGCGAAGGAGACAGAAAAAAAAGAGACAGAAGAGATAAAGAAAAACAAAAACAAGACAGAGACAAACACAGACAAAAGGAGACAATGCACAGAAAAAGAGAGACAGAAGGAGACACACTGCTGGAGACAGAAGAAAACAACATATCAACAAAAAAAAAGAAAAAGAGAGACAGCGGCATGCAACGGAGAGAGAGAGAAAGGGAGAAAGCAGTACGCATAAAGAGAAACAAAGAGAGAGAGACACAGGAGGAGACAGAGAGACAAACAGAGAAAAAGATAAACAGAGAAAGAGACAAAAAGAGACAGAGAAACAAAAAAAAAAACAAAAAAGGAGACAAAAACAACAAACAGCACTCAGAGCATCTACAAACCAAGCAGAAAGAAACAGGAGACAGACAAAGGAGACAGCAGCAGCACAGCAGCAGCACAGCAGCAGCAAAGCAGCAGCACAACAGCAGCACAGCAGCAGCACAGCAGCAGCAAAGCAGCGGCAAAGCAGCAGCACAGCAGCAGCACAGCAGCAGACAAAGAAGAAAAAGGAGACACAAAGCAGCACAGAGGAGACACTGCAGCAACCCTCACCCCTGCTAGCATCACGAGAACTGCTGCTGTCTCCTTCATCGGCCTCTCCTTTTGCTGCTGCTTCAGCAGCAAGTCTAACAGAGACAGCTGCTGCAGACGCACAGAGTCCATAGACTGTCGCAGCCGCCGCAAAAGATGTTTCACCTGCTGCTGCTGCTGCTGCTGCTGCTGCTGCTGCTGCTGGTGCTGCTGTTGCTGCTGCTGGTCGTGATTCAGTTGCTCTTGTTGCTGCTGCTGCAGCAGCAGCTGCTGCTGCAAGCCAAGACGCTGCCGCTGCAGGCTTCTGTACAGGTGCATGAGAGCAGCAGCTCGAAACGCCGATGTTGCTGCTGCTGCTGCTGCTGCTGCTGTTGCTGCTGCTTTCCCTTTTGCTGCCTGCTGCAGCTGCAGAAGCTCATCGCTGCTGCAGGTGAGCAGCAACTCCCACGCTTCTGTGTGCTGCTGCTGAATCGTGAGAGGCGCACCGAGCTGCTGCTGCAGGCTAAGGGGCAACGAAACAGCAGCAGCAGGTGCAACAGCAACAGCAGCAGCAGCCACAGCAACAGCAGCAGCATGAACGGCAGCAGCAGCAACAGCAACGCAAAAACACCATAGACGCCTAAACAGGAAGAGAGAGTACCTCCGTGGTGCCTATGGGTTGCTGCTGGTGCTTCTGCTTCTGACGCTGCTGCTGTTGTTGCTGCTGCTGCTGCTGTCGCTCCCCCCTCTAACCCGTGTGTGGCTCTGCTGCTGCAGCAGGTTGGGGTGCCTGTACACCGCAGGTCTCACCTGTTCAGCCCTATGAAGCTCCGCAGCAGCAGCAACGCAGCAGCAGAGACAGAAGAAGAGCAGTGAAAGACAGACTCTGTTGCTGCTTCTAGCAGCGGCAGTACAGAGCTTGCTGCAGCAGCAGATGTTCCTGCTGTTGCTGTTGTTGCTGCTGCAGCAGACTGTGCAGCTGCTGCTGTTGATGGCCCTCCTGCTGCCGCTGCAGCAGCAGCAGCAGAAGACTCATCAGCAGCAGCAGCAGCAGCACGGTCCAGCAGCGAAGCTGCCACCTTCGCTTGCTGCTGAGCACTGCGTTGGTGCTGCTGCTTGAGATACACATAAGTGTCGGCCTGCTGCTGCTGCTGCAGCACAGCAGCAGGCAAAGGCGTGAAGTCTGCTGCTGCAGCAAGCTGCCACTGCAGCAGCAGCTCCTGCCCCCACTGCTCCGTATCCACCCCAAATGAAGTTGCAGCAGAAGCAGCAGCAGCAGCTGCTGCTGCAACACCATAAGGGGCAGCAGCAGAAGGCACGAGGCCACACGTCTTGCTGCTGCTGCATAGCAGTGAGAGAGCACGCAGCCGCAGAGCAGCTTCCGTTAAGTTGCTGCTGCTGCTGCTGCTGCTGCTNTGCTGCTGCTGCTGCTGCTGCTGCTCTCGCTGCTGCTCTCAGACAAATACATCCAAAGCTTCTCTGTAGAGAGACACAGCAAACAGCACATCGAAGCAGCTCATCATCATCGTCAGCAGCAGCAGCAGCAGCAGCAGCAGAGGAAGAACCAGACAGAGAACGTCAGCAGCAGCAATGAAGGAATCAACAACAGCAGCAGCTATGGCAAGAGCAGCAGCAGCAGAAACGGCAGCAGCAGCTGCTGCGGCAGCAGCAAGAGGAGAAGCAGCAGCACGGCGTGCTCACTCAGGCCCTCATAAACTGTCTCCCCCAGGGGTTCTTGCTTCTGTAGCTGCCACATTTGCTGCTGCTGCTGCTGCTCCTGCTCCTGCTGCTGCTGTTGCTGCTGCTGGCTGCTCAGTGCAGCAGCAAGGGCCAGCCTCTCTGGGTTACCCACCCCGAAGAGCCGCAGCAGCGCGAGGAAGAAAAGCAGCATCTCCTGGGGTGTACGTACACCCCATTGGTGCTGCTGCTGAAGCACCGCGTTCAGCAGCAGCAGCAGCAGCGAGTCCAACTCTTGCCTATAAGATGTGTAGACCTGCTGCACGTACTGCTGTTGCTGGTCTTGCTGCTGCTGCTGCTCTTGCTGCTGCTGCTGCTGCTGCTGCTGCATAGCAAGCGAGTTTAGCTGCACAGAGAAGGATATGTCTCTCAACATTAAGGCCTCCGTTAGGCGGAACATGCTATCAATGGGCAACACTTCTCTGCTGCTGCTGCTGCTGCTGCTGCTGCTGCTATTGCTGCTGCTGCTGCTGCTGTTTCTGAGCGCCACAGTGACTCTGTCGATTGCTGCTGTAATTGCTGCGGCGAGCCCCACGGCTTGGGGTGTATCTGCAGCTTCTATGGATCCAGGCAGAGTCTCTAGGTGTACAGGGGCAGGAGAAGATAAACCACTTTCCCTTGTTGCTGTTGCTGCTGCTGCTGCTGCTGTTGCTGCTGCTGCGTCTGCAGCTGCAGCAGCAGCAGCAGAGGGTGCTGCGGAAGATGTAGGGACCAGCAGCACAGAGAAGTGTTTGGGGAAGAAGGCGGCATAGGCTGCTGCTTGCAGCACTGAGCATGTTTGCTGCAGCAGCAGCAGCAGCAGCAACAGCAGCAGCAGCCACAGCAGCAGCAGCAACAGCAGCAGCAACAGCAGCAGCAGCAACAGCAGCAGCAGCAACAACAGCGCTTGAATGTGGGGTTTATACAGACAGGTGAAGCCCGAGGAAGAACAAGACAGAAAAGAAAGGAGACAAAAAAAAAAGAAAAGGAGACAAAAGAAAACACACAAATACAAAAAGATACAAAAACAAGAGACATATAAAGAGACAAAAAAAACCAAAGGAGACAGCGAAAGGCGAAAGGAGACAGACAAAGACAAAAGGAGACAAAAAGGAGACAGACATACACCACGGCAACTGGGGTGTACAGACAGCTAGTCCCTTAGATTAAACACCCAGCAAGAACAGACTCAAACCCTAAACCCAAAACCCTAAACCCTAAACCCTAAACCCTAAACCCTAAATATGATGCAGGCAGACGCACGGCAGGGGACAGGGTATGACACTGCAGCAGACGGCGCAGCAACACGACACAGTTCTCTGGGGGAGACGCAGCAGCAGCAGCAGCAGCAGCAGCAGCAGCAGCAGGAAGAGGAGCTGGGGGGAGGAGGCGCTGCCTGAATGAAAGCAAAACACACAGATGACCGCAGAAGTTGTATTGTGCTGCTGTTGCTGCTGTTGCTGCTGTTGCTGCTGTTGTCGTTTCTGCTGTTGTTGCTGCTGCTGTTGTTCAGCAGCAGGACAGCAGCAGTACCGCAACAGCTGCAGCAGCAGCAAGACAGCAGCAGCAGCACCGCGACAGCAGCAGCAGCACCACGACAGCAGCAGCACCACGACAGCAGCAGCAGCAGCAGCACAGCAACAGCAACAGCAGAGCAGCAGCAGCAGCAGAGCAGCAGCAGCAGCAGGGAACAGAAGGAGTTAGTGAATATAAACAAACCTGAATGAGGAGACAAACAAATGAGATAAAGCTGCTGCTGTGCTGCCCCCCAAGGGCTCCTCAGCCAGATAAGAAAACAAGACAAACGAGACAGAAGACAAACCTGCACGAAATAAAATAAAATAAAATAAAATAAAATAAATAAAATAAAATAAATAAAATAAATAACATGAAAATAAAAGGATAAAATAAAATATAATAGAATAAAACACAAGCAAACAGCAGCAGACAAACACCTACAGGCGTGCCAGCAGAATAAAAAATATAATAAACAAACAAACAGAAAAAAACAAAAAAACTAAGCAGATAAAAGCAATACACAAGCGAGCATCGGCAGCTGCTGCCGTCTGCAGCAGCAGCTGCTGCTGC